GGCACTTGACTGCTAACCAGAAGGCTGGCAGTTCAAACCCACCAGCCACTCCTTGGAAGGAAGATGGAGCAATCTACTTCAGTAGTGATACTGCCTTGGAAACCCATGGAGGGGTCGCTATGAGTCTGGTCCATTCGACTATGAGTCAGGTCCACTTGATGGCACGTAACAACAACACAGACTATGTTATAAACATCTTGAACGACTTGGCATTGAGTTTTTTAAAACAGATTGAAACTTGTCATTTGGGACGAGGGCAGTATCTATTCTGTTTAGTGCTACCATATTAACCACCATACAGTTTACATTTTGAACGATCCAGAATGTACATACAGCAGGACATTGCCTTGTTTTCTGCACTATTAAAAAGCAAATAACTGGTTAGAGCTTGTGTATAATTAACTTAGCATTGGATATTATATGTATCACTAACTCATAAAACAATAAAAGTGAAATGTAAAAGGTGAAGTGGTGTAACTCAGTGGTTCAAATTAAAATCATCATAAATTATGATGCATCAGATTGTTATGCTGCCATTAAACTGTATAGTGACAAGTGAGAAAAAGCAGGATGTAAAAATTTTATTTATAAGATCATCATAATAAAAATGGGTATGAATATAGATATTGGAGGAGGAAATAGGGCTCAAAGTAGAAATCAGACTCTTCTTACTGGAGAGCTGAAGCAGAGTCATCCCACTGGAGTTCACTATAGAGACTAGTTCCTATTGCCTAGATTCTGAGCTCTCCAGGTTTCTGCCCTGAGTGCTGGATATCCAGGGTTTTCTTCTATAAGCTTCCCTATATTGTTACAGTAACCAAACAAAAAAAACCAAACTCACTGCCACTGAGTCAGTCCTGATTGACAGCAACCCCTCCTTGGATTTCCAAGGCAGAGCTCTGGTAGTGTAGTGCCTAAGGCACTTGACTGCTAACCAGAAGGCTGGCAGTTCAAACCCACCAGCCACTCCTCGGAAGGAAGATGGGGTAATCTACTTCAGTAGTGATACTGCCTCAGAAACCAAAGGAGGGGTCGCTATGAGTCGGGTGCCACTCGACGGCACATAACAATACAACATCACTATGGAAGTAGATTGTCAATCTTCCTTCCGAGGAGTGGCTGGTGGATTTAAACTGCTAGATTTCTCATTACCAGTCAAATGCCTTAGGCACTACTCCACCAGAACTCCCATATTAAGAGTACAGACTATAAAATAAAAAAGTGACTCCAAAATATAGTGATTTAAATGAGATAGAAGATTATTTCTTACATAACAGTCCAGAGGTAGGAAAGTGGTCCAGCCTGACAGGGTGGCTCAGCTTCATCAAGTCATCCATAGACCCTGGTTCCTTTTCTCTATAGGCCTGACATTTCCTATAATATTTTCTTCATTTGCATGGTTAAAGCTTGGAAACGGCAATGAATCTGCCCTCGTGCATTCCAGCTCTGGAGAAAAGTAACTGCTTTATTTTTAAGTAAGTGATGCAGAGGTTACATATAAGTGCACTTTCACTTATATTCCATTGATGGGATAGATTTTGCCACACTTAGCTGTAAGGGAAACTGGGAAATGTGTGGTCTCAATTAAAACTTTATTAGTGTAATGAAAAGAAAGAACAGATTTTGGGAGACAACTATCATTCTGCTACACACACATACCCGCCTATATTCTTCTAATCAATTCCGTCTTAAAACGAGTTCATTTACTTCCGTTTACAGACAATGCTTATTGCTTGCAGCCTAAGTATTCTAACTGACACTTCATCCTTCAGGCTCTAATTTAAATGTTTCTTTAAGGAAGCTTACGTTCTCTAAAGTAGGTCTTCACCTACCCCTGTCACCGTTGTTTTGATCTCAGTACTTTGTTTCCTTCATGACACTTATCACAGATTGCAATGTCACCAGTATATAGGCATTGGTGGTTCAGTGGTAGAATTCTCACTTTCCATGTGGGAGACAAGGTCTGATTCCAGTCAAGGCATCTCATGCATAGCTATCACCCTTTTTTCAATGGAGGCTTTCACGTTGTTATGATGAACAGATTTCAGCATAGCTTCCAAACTAAGATAGACTAGGAAGAAAGGCCTGGTGACCTACTTCCCAAAATCAGACAATTAAAACCCTAGGAATCACAACAGCTCAATCAACAACTGATCATGGGGATGGTGCAGGACTAGGCAGTGTTTCATTCAACTGTGCATGGTCCCCATGAGTCAGGGGCTGACTCCATGGCAGCTAACAATTACATTATATATAAGAGATATAAAATATATATATCATATATATATGTGAGATATAATTACATATATATAATATATATATGATATATATGGGTTTCTGTCTATCTTCCCCACGTATCTTTTTTCTTCACTACCTCACCTCCATTACTTAGCACAGTGCTGGGCATTGGGTAGGCATAAACTAAATATCGGTGTTGAATGAATAAAACACTGGTCAAAGATTAATCACAGAGTTCTGGATTGAACAGTTAAATATATCAGTAGAGACTGAGAATACAGGAGGTAGGGCAAGTTTGGAGGAAGGGGAAGGAGAGATGACCAGTTTTGCTTACACATGTTGAGTTTCAAGTATTTGAATGATTTCAAGGTGACATCTAGTAGGCAGCTAAAGTATGGATCTTGAGTTCTGAGAAGAGCATAGGATTGGAGTTCTAGATTTGGGAGCCTTGAGAATGGATGAGTTGGCTCAGAAAGAGTGTCAGGAGTTAACAGAGAAGGTTTAGGAGGTCATTACAAGAAACAACATTTACAGGGCAGAGGAAGAGATAGCAGCAAAGCCTAGGGGGGACCTATCAGAGGCTGTCAACAAGAGACAGTGAGAAGAAACTTTCAGAGAAGAGAGATTGGTCACAAGTGGTATAGATTAGCAGAAAGAAGGTAAATTATTTCACATAAAGTATAGTTAGTCTCTGGGTTATGAACAAGAGCCTTACCTGTAACTCGAATTTGTAGGTAAGTTGGAACAGGTGCATACGGTTCTTATTTAGCCTTACTTTATTGCAGGAAAAGGCTTAAAGCTTTCCCAATGATTTAAAATCTGCAAGTACAACAAGGGAATGTGATTATGATGAAGAAGGCAATTGTGAGGAAGAATTTCTTTCTTTAGGTGATTTAATCATTTCAAAGTGAGGGAAAATTTACATAACATTAAAGGACAAGTAAGAGTTGTCATGTAAGTCCAACATTGGTAACACTGAGACTGCCTGTATGGAAAATGTGCCTTGGACCTGCCAATTAGGAGGCCTTAGGGATAGGAGCCTTAGCTGGAATAATCGTTTTAGTGGATTGGTGGACTGTGTAACTGAAGAAAGAATGTTAAAGAAGCAAATGTAGTGATTGTAGAACATGCTTTCAAGAAGTCATGAAAACAATGGAGAGATTGCATTTGGATCATAAGTGTTTCTTTTAGACAAGAGAGCTCCAAATCTCTTTATATAGGGGGAAAGGAGATAAGAGGTGGAGGAGGAGAGTAATTAGTTGTGGAAAGAGTTTTCATCTAATGACCTTTTTCTATGAATAAGGGAGAAAAGTCATCTGCTACAAGGAAGGAAGTAGAGGTAGGATAGAAGTTTGAGGAAAGAGGAAGTTTGAACTAATATCTAAGAGAAGAAAGATGGGTAGGATTGCTGATAAGGGACAAATAAAAGTTCTGCTGTGGCAGAACTATTGGTTAGAAATTCTTTCTTCCCCTCCTACTCTAAATTTGTTCCAAAAAAACTTCAGGCTGCCAAATCCTAATTTGTGCACCAATGTACCCAGATACTAGATTTTTCTCTAACAATAATGGGCAACAAACACGAGGCATCAACGAAAGCAGATGACTCCAACTCCCTTCATCCCAGTAGCGAAGACTGAGCTGGCCTCGGGCACTGTAGGCGCACCCCTAATCCTTTCAAGGTAGCTCCGCTACGATGAGATAGGCTCCTTTGTACAGCACATGCACCTCATACATGCTTGCTGCAGATAATGGCAGATTTAGAACCAGATGGTTCGAAGTAAATAACGTCCCACAAAACATTCACCACGCTGCAGCAAGGCAATGCTGAGGGGGCTGGTTAAAACCTCGTTGTATGTCCGGACACCTACACGCATTAAGAGCACACTGATACTCATTTCATATTTTGTCAAATACGAAAGTAAGTTTGGGAGCTAAACACCGGGAGGCGAGACCGAAACAGTGAGAGTACTGTGAGAAGCCAAAAGTTAGCCTGAACGTTGTAAAGCAAGACCGAACTGCAAAAGTAACTTGCCAAACCTAGAGTTAGCCTGAAGATTGTAATGCAGAACCCTAGCCCCGCCCCCATGGCGTCACCACATCCTTAGTCCAATACCCCCTAGCGTTGAGTGTGAGCTTTGGGGCTGCAGCCTCCAGATTCGCTCTTCCCCCTTCCACTGACGTCACCGCACCTCAGCCTCTAAGGCTCCTCTTTCACTCGCTGAAATCGCCGGGCGCGGTGGCGCGTGCCTGTAGTCCCAGCTACTCGGGAGGCTGAGGCTGGAGGATCGCTTGAGTCCAGGAGTTCTGGGCTGTAGTGCGCTATGCCGATCGGGTGTCCGCACTAAGTTCGGCATCAATATGGTGACCTCCCGGGAGCGGGGGACCACCAGGTTGCCTAAGGAGGGGTGAACCGGCCCAGGTCGGAAACGGAGCAGGTCAAAACTCCCGTGCTGATCAGTAGTGGGATCGCGCCTGTGAATAGCCACTGCACTCCAGCCTGGGCAACATAGCGAGACCCTGTCTCTTTTGCTAAAATTATTTAGGGAATTATTTATTTTATTTTATTGCAAACCTTGCTTGGAACAGCGTGTCCAAAATTCAGAACTAACGCCCTTTGCCCACTTTCAAGTACATACTAGTAATAGTTTTACAAAGGTATGGATTAAAAAGAGAAGGAGGTATTACTTATTTTTACTACTGGTTCCCGCTTCAACTGTTCTACATTTGTCTTGTATTTTACATCTTCAGGGCGGGCTAAAACTCACCCAGTATTTAGGATAATTTGGGTTTGGAGCTACCTCACCACTGACCCCTGATGGAGCATTATGAAAACGTCTCTGTGAAAAGCTGTTATCAACCGCAGAAGCCTGCAGGGGATGCTCGTTTACTCAATCTGTTCCGGAAAGCAGCCACCTGACAACGTGCGAAAAATACACCTCCGACCCCCAATCTACGGAAGTAGATTGTCCAATCCCTGGCAACCCCAGGAAGATGAAACTCCCGCGAGAAATTCCCTGGTTCTTCCCGCAATGACGAAGGATGCCGGTCTCAGTTACTACCACCACCATTTCCCTGCACCGATCTTCCCTCACCAACTCCAACCACATCATGTCTCCTTCTCTCACCCCTGTCCATTCGTTCCTGAATGTCGTGGACAGAAGACCTGGCTGATCAACAGTCTTTCCTTACAGCTCTATGACTAGAGCTGTGTGAGAGCTTAAAATCAGAGGCACCTCGTTTGTGTAAATAAAGCAGTCTTAACTCCATTTTAAAGTTTTGACATGAGTTCCTCTAAACTTGATGCTGACCGTATACCTAAAGTAGACATTCCTTTTCTCTGAGGTCCCCAGAAACAGTTAAGATTGAAGAAGCAATTTTACTAAACAGTTGTTGTTGTTATGTGCCACACACAGGCACCAGAAAAAAACTGGTCTTGTCACTGTCCTGTGACTATTTTGTAATAAACTGAAGGGCATATACCCTTAACCAATCATGTAATCCCATATCCACCTATCCCTGTTAAATCTTGGCTTTTAGATTCCCGCCTTTTTGACCCCTGATTGTCTTTTAGCCAGTTATGCCGTTGTAACTTTTTAGTTCCTGCTCTAATTGTACAAAAATTTATTTTTCCTCGTTGTCGGAGGAATGACCATTTGCTCTACCAGGGCTGACTTTCCGACCCGCTTATGTCTCCTTGTGGGTAAAGGAAAAAAGCCTCAGCGAACTCCCGAATAACCCTGTGATGGCAGAGATGAGAAGGCAGCGTGGCAGAATGCTGTCTCCCTGTTTCTCGCGGGAGTTTCATCTTCCTGGGGTTGCCAGGGATTGGACAATCTACTTCCGTAGAGACCTCTCAGAAACCCAACGAGGGTT